GCCCTGACCGTGAAGTAGCACCTCCTGATATCTAGCCTAGGGTCTTTAAGAAGAGGCTTGGTGCCTACTTGGCTGGAGTCATTTGAGCGCAGTTTTTCTCCTGCCCAGGCGGGGGGTCGGATTTGATGATCTACAGGGTCCCTTCTGATCCTACTTCTATGATTCTGTGACCTGAGGAGGTCATCTAGTTCAACCCCTGCTCAAAGCAGAACCATCCCCAACTACGTCCTCTCAGCCAAAGCTTTGTTTACCTGGGTTTTAAAAACCTCTAAAGATGTAGAGTCCCCGGTCTCTCTGGGTAACCTGTTCCAGTGCTTTACTGCTCTCCTAGTGAGACTTTTTTCTAATACCTAACCTAAACTCCACTTGTTGCAACTGGAAACCGTTGTTCTGCCACCACCTGAGAACAGTCTAGCTCCTGCACTAGTGGTGGAGCTAGCTCTATCTGTTCAGTATCATAAGATTATTTTAATATTATAAAAGCGTATGTCTGTAATGCTTTATTCACACTCTGATTGGCTGATGGAAAAAGCCAATCAGAGTGCTCCAAGTGTGGAGGAGCGCCACCATGATTCTGAAGCCACTTTGAGGACTGGACAGAGAGTGGGGGAGCCGGGGCCATCATGCTGGCCTCAGCTCCCTCACCTCGCTCCCTGCAAGAGGCAGAACAGTGGCAGCATGGACCATTAGGTGGCGGCACTGCATGCCAGCCCCCTCTCCTCTGTATCCCCCTGCACCCCCCCCGTCATTCTTGATGGGCAGTTGGCTAGTAGGTGTAATATTTATCTGAAACTATGCTAAGGCATAATACTGGTGTTTAAACATGAAATATGTGGCTTGGCTTAACATTCCTCAAACTATTTAGGGGAGATGAAATGATTAATATTACATTTTTGTTGTAAGTTTTGTCCAGGGCTGATTGTCCCAGACACTGTTTTTTGGGTTTGTTATTTAAATATGTGCCTTAAACATGGATCTGCAAAATGCCTGTGATTGCAATAGAGCACATTGCACATTTGTTCAAGTATTCATGTGACGGGATCATTTTTGTGTTTGAGATGCAATGAAGCCTGTTGAGAATAACGTGTGTCTGCACGTAAGGCAGACATGGTGATATATGAGCATTGCCATGGAGACATTTGGCAGAGACCCAGCATTTGAAAATCCACATCTACGCAAATGCACACAAATATGTGTAAATATGGGTTATCATAATAAGGATATGACTTCTTTTGTACAATAAAGTCCAATTTCTGCTTTGGAATTAATTTCCAAATAGTAATGCTTTAATTTGTTGTATTAAAAATAGAAAGATGCAGCTTGTTCCCTGTTGTCTGTTAAGAAATAGCTATAAAGGTGAAGTTACATGAGGAAATATTTTCTAAAGCCCCTTTCAGATGTTACATTTATTGTGGGACATGTGAGTATCCAGTAACAAATGGTAACAGGGAGATAAATCTCTGTGGTCCCATAGTGCTCAGCTCTCCCTCCCTCAAAGGGAGTAAGGGTGAAGGGGCTGCTTGCAGTCTGGGAACCTCTGCCCCCAGCCCTTGAAAACGCTGGGAGCCTGGCTCCCAATCCTATCAGAGAACCTATTCAGCTCACCAATGGGCTCTCTTGGGGCTCTTGCTTTCCAGCAGCCTCCTATTGCCTCCTGGCTGGAGAGCCAGAGCTCTGAATGTTTCATAGCCCATAGCACTTTTGTTGTTGTTGTTTCATATGAAGTCTGGATGTAGCCTAAGTTGCCTTTGCTGTGATTCTTGTGGTAGAGGCTATCTGGTTATAGAATTGCTTTTCCTTTGTGCGTTTTCAGAAATGTCATGCGGTGTTTTTAGATGGTACTTGTTGTTAGGTGTAATTTTTAAAATGTGTATGCTAGAATGTTTTGTAAATGGTGAGTCCATCCTAGAATACATTTCTAAAATTGAACATATTCTTTTAATGTGCTAATCTGGAAGATACAGCTCATAAGTGCATGGTCACAAAAGCTTGTTCGTATACCTGAAGAAGTCAGTTGGAATACTGATGATTTCAATAGGACTGGGATTGAGTCCACAGCTCCAAACACCTGTCAGTAGATGGCCTTTATTTCTCAGACTTGCTTCCCAGTATAGATGTAAACTCTAGGACCGAGTACAAAGATCATCTGTTCAGTTAGACTACTGCCAGTAGTACAGGAGCGGGGAATTAAGTATTCTTGTTAAATATTCTAATGAATATTTTTATTCTCTTTTATTGCATTCCAGATGTAGCAGACTTGGTTGCATTTTAAAAACTGCAAAATTTAAGTATTGGTAAAGCAGGTGCTTCAACCAGTACATTGGAAAGTTTTGTACTACAGTGCAAAAGTTTCTTGAAGGGACAATATCTTGTTCTGCACTTGTTCCAGAACCTTCCCAGAGCGCCTAATTGTTTGTTTTGTTTCCTCACAGATGAATCGACTCCTAAGGAAGTCAGCAGGGTAAGTACTGCTTACAGTTGTTTCTCCATCCCCACTAGAAAAAGAAAAGGTCTCTGTGGCCCACTGTTCACTTGAGATGACTTTCTTGCAGTCTCTGATCAAGTCTGTACACCATTCCCTGAGCAAACTTATACCTCCAGAGAAATAGCTGGGAGATGTTAGATGTAACTGACAACTTCCAGAGCAATTAATACAACTCCCGCCGCCTCCCCCCCATTCCAAACATTTGATTGATTGTAAACATGTGAAGATCTCCCTTGTTTGTTAGGAAAATAAGAGTTCACGCAAGCTATTTCTGTGATCCCATGTAAACACGTTGTTTCAAGGAAATAAGCAATTCCTTCAAACTTTGAACTCTGACTTGTTAGTCATGTAACTACCAAATATTTAATCAGTGTTATTACCATGAGAGATGGGAAGCGTAAAACTACCAAAGAGGAAACAAGACCAGGAATACATCTTATTTAATTACATCCTTTGAGATATGGTAGAGTACAGCAGAGTTACTTTTTTGTGAAATAATTTGCAGTGTACTATATGAAATCTAATGTGAAATACATCTTAAATAATATATTTATTAATATGTTCTTGAATTATATGTTTCTTTCTGACTTAGCCCTATATATAAGTGTATTTTACAATGAGCATGCTCCTTGCTGAGTTATCATAAGCTACCATATAGTACTTTGTCCTAAGTAGGATGTGTACTTTTGTTTCTATGTTATAGGTTGAGATTATAGTAAGTAATTGTGTTGTACTTTCAGTTGTCTTAACCTTCTACCACCTGATATACAAACAAATGGCTGTCAACTTTCTGATTCTTTAACTATAATATTTTCCCTGCTCTTTATCACTATTAGCTAACTCTTCTATGATTCAGGTTCCTTCTAATGCCTTGTGCCAATTTTGCCATCAGAGGGTAACCCATCAGCTTACCCCCCACTACCACCCATTTTGCTTATAAATGGAATACTTGCTTGATGTGTCAGCCATGCATCCTGTTTGTATTCACTTTCTCACAAAAATTGTTGCTGCCTTTACACTTGAAAAATGAAGTAGTGATGTAGTAATTTCTGATCTATGATAAACTAAAAATACAGAGTTCTGTAGCCAGTTAATCTTACCAACCGTCTTTCAGGCAAAATAATAGTTTGTATTTTTTTCCTCCAAATTTACAAGTGTTTTGTAATAGTTCATTATTCAAATAATCATTTTAACTTTTAATGTATTACAAATGGTATCCACAGAACACTACAGCACAACCCCCCCCCCAATCTGCAATAATTATCCCATTACTTCAAAAATGTAATCTGCATACTGCTCTTCAGGATAAACCCAACAATGATCAGTTTAGTTTTTAAGCATCTTTCGATCAGTCTATCATCTCAACATTTTTTTAAAATTCTCTAGAGGATGATAAAATCTAAGAAAATCTTGACACAAGTTTTTGGATCATTTAGAAGTGTGGAAATACCAAAATTAAGGGCCTACTATGATGGTTATATCTTTAACATGACTAAAATCATAATGCTTTTACATGGTTATAGTCTTAATATTCCCAGTTGTTTTGAAATCCCTCATCTTTGCAAGGGCTAAGGCATCTAATTACCATGTTTCCTTGTATACCATCTACCCCAAATATAATATTTTGGAAGGCAGAATAAAGAAAAAAAAAATTTTTTCTAGAATGATGGCTGCATGGAGCTGGGACAGAGTCTAATCTTCAACTCACTTGGATTCCCTTTCCTGCTCAGATAAAAGCTACAATTTGAACCCTTTCACAGCTGAAATGACAGCAGCTCTAGGCTGCTTAGCCAAAAGTTGAAACTCTAGCTGTTGGTGAAGACTGGATTACCTGGGAGGATCTAGGATTTTGAAAGGAGCTAAAAGCAGTCTGCAAATCTTGGAAATAGAAGAAGTGAAACCAGAAGTAGCTAACAAATAGCAAAATTGCTAAAGAAAGGATAGCTTGATTAAGGGAACATCAAAGACCATTAAAAGGGAGAGGAGGTCATTAACATGCATGGAGTGAAGAGCAATCATTAGGAATCAGATGGATTATAATAAGCCACAGAGACATAGCAAGCCAAGTTAGCACCCAAGTTGAACCCTATGGGAGAGTGGGGGTGCATGCAGACTCCAAGAGAGGGGGCGGGGGCATGTGGCTTCTGTGGGCAGTGGAGGGCACGTGGTTCCCACAGCAGGGATGGGGGGACACATGAGTTCTGAGAGTGAGGGGAGGGGGCAGGACAGGGGAATGAGGGGAGCAGTTGCTAGTGCAAGAGCAGGCAGCAGCCTTACTTGCTGGGAGCTTCAGAACAGTCTTGGATGAGGTGCTGCTGCATGTGCTCTGCCAACCCCAGCTCTGTTGCTCTTAAAAGAACAACAGCTGGGAACTGTTTTGAAGTTCCTGTCGGGACAGTGCCATGAGGGCACAGACTCCATCAGTATAGGGGTGATTCTGGTGCCCCTTCTAACTTGGTGCCTGGGATGAGTGCCCATCTTGCCCACTACTGGTGAATTATGAAGTCAGTTAACTCCCCCGGCACTGCCTGAATAGAAATGTCACTGTTGCTGCTGGGCAGTTATTTTTAAACTTTTGGTGGAGTAGGAATCAAAGTGAGGTATACCACGGCACCTCCCCTGACTCTTCTGTCCCTGGAATTTCCTCCTCCCTCCTTGTGGCTACTGGAGGGAAGAGAAGGAAAAAAAATCATCAGCCATCCAACAGTATCTCCGTGTTTCTGTTGTCAGAAAGTCAGATTGCCCTGCATAAAACATGCACCCTGCTTTTGGAAGCCTAACTTGAGGGGAAAGGGTGCATGTAGTAGTATGCGAGTTAAAATGGATTATCTGGTTACTGTACTGATATTGTTCTGACACTTAAATTAGTAATCCTGGTGTAAAATAAAAACTACAGGAAGGGGTACAGAAATCTCAGTGTTTGAAACAAGACTATGGCCATTCAAGTTTTAGGTTCCCTCTGGTCAGTTGTTTTGAATTTTTCGTGTTGCTGTAGTCTGTGCCGTGAGGAGATAAGTCTGGTTTTCCAATCTGTAGAAATATTAGAGTTGTATGCAAATTGGTTAAGTTTTGCAACCAGTCTACTGAATGTGAACTGTGTATTGTAATCCTGAAACACCTTATTTTGGTTTAAGAAAGATCATTGTACAATGCAACTTTTCCAGCTCTGCAAACCTTATACATGTGTACTACATTATAATAATACTTAAACAAATGGCATCATCATAGTGGTTCAGCATATTATTGATTTATATCTTTCTCAGATTGTAAATCCTCTTAGAAGTGGTAATGCATCAGTAATTTGATTCAAAAACAGTGTATGATGCTTTTTTGTCTCAGCCAGCCTTGTTGAGGCTAAGTTACAAAAACTGAGGAGTTAGAATTGTTAACAGTATGCTTTATATTACTTAGGTACAACTCAGGATTTTTCCCCTCGAAATTTCTTTATTTCTTCTCCCCCCCCCACGCCTTCTTTCTTGTTTCTTTATATCTACGATGTTAATTAAATGCCTATATGATGCTTAAGGTGCTCTAACACTTTCACAATAAAATCCTAGTGCATTAAACTAACAATTTGAACAGGAACCCAGCTAGTTAGCCATCCAAAATCCTCTTTCTACTCATTTGGCTAACTTGATAATTTTCCAAACCCATCAGCAGGCTGGTGAATGATGCCTTACCCGTCTTTCTTTTGATAGGACTTGATCTCCCAGAAATCAGCTTCTTTTTGTATACTGTTCATTTGTCTGCTCAGAATTTCTTTATCCCATTACAACTGTTTCCTTTCCTATGTTGTATTGCACAGGTGGGTAATTGTTTGAGCCTGCAGGCCACATAGGGAGCCTTGCTGAACTGTTGTGGGCCAGGTCAGCACCCTACCCCCTCCTCTCCCTGCCACCCAACAGCTGGGATCACTGGGTGGGGTCACAGGGCAGTGACAATGCAGGGCCAAGGTTGGGGCAGAACTGTGATCTGCTGCCTGCATGCCTCTGTGATGGGCATGGGTTCTGCAGGGGCATGCAGGAAGTGGATTGCAGCTTGACCCTGGCCCTGGCCCTGTGCTGTCACCACCCTAAGATCGCAGCCCCAGATGTAACCTGATCCTGTCCCCCTGGCCACGTTCCCTGCCCGTGCAGCACCTGTCCAATCTGCATGGAGACCCCAGGATCGTGGGGTTGGGACAGAGCCATGATATGCTCCCTGCATGCAGAACTGGGGCTTTGCCCTGGCATCACACTATCACTGCCTCATGATCCCAGGGTCTTCCTAGCCCTGGATGCCTGTCTCACTTGTGGACATCTTTCCCTGCTGGCCTGCAACTCCATGCTAGCTGCTCTGCTGATCACCCTGCCTACCTGGGTCCCACCCCCAGCAGTGGGTGCAGGATGGATGGGCTGGGTGTCTGGGCAGCAGGGTTGGATCTGGCAGTGGCAGCTGGAAGGAGCTGCCACTGAATACTGGGACTGCTAGGAAATGGAATCCAGCTGCCTTGCCACCCGAGCCCTGCTGCTTGCCTGGGGCAGTGGGACCAGCTGCACGTATCATGGCCTGGGCTGCCCCTTGCACCTGGGCAGGGTGGGACTGAGGGCCCCACCACAGGCCAGACAAAAATCCCTTGGCCAGCTGGATCTGGCCTGCAGGCTGTATTTTGCCCACCTTGCTGTTTTGGCTCTCACTACTCAAACTTGATGAAGAATGTCAAACTTCAAAAGCTTGTTTAACTCTATCCCAGCTATACAGTTGGTCCCATAAAACATTAGACATCCTTCCTCTGCTCAGTAGAGGAGGAGTGACTGCTGGGAGAGAGACGTTTTGACTGCAGAGGCACTCCAAGTTCTGCCAGTAAAACTTTTGAAGTCTGCCTCAGTCTGCTTAGTGTTTAGCATCAATGAGGAGGTTGGTGTTGAGTGGCTTAAGCAGCAAAGTACAAACAGATGCTTGATTAATTAATTGCTCTTGTCTGGACTCTTAATTAC